AATTCTGTCAGAGGCTTCCTTCACGCGCCTATGACTAGGCCGAACAGCGTGGTGTTAAGTCCTCGGAGTAATCGACCTGTTGAGGTCGAATAAGTTGCTCGATCGCGTATTTGATCGAAGGATAGTTTGGTCGACAGCCTTGCTTGGTCGACTAGTTAATTGCTCGATTTCTTTGGCTTCCTCATAATATGACCTCCTCGACCGGTCAGCAGACCGGTTCAACCTTGTGGGTATAATATCCCATATCAGAGTTTGCCCCAAGTTTAGCAGGTTTTATGTTCTGAGTCTATTTTCCCCTTTTTCCTTTTTATTCTTCTTTGCTCTAGGGTTTCTTTCAGTGTTGGGTTTTTCCTGGGCTGCTTTCCCCTTCTTTCTTTCTTTCAGGTCTGGGTCTTCCCTCATCACCTCTAATCCCACTGGTTTTCATCATCCTCATGGCGGAAGAAATAGCTAACAAGCTAGAAGCATTCAAATTATCCCAAAGAGAAGGCTCGGCTATTCCGATTGAAGTTGGGGACTGTCAGGTTAGCTCTATTGAATGTCGGAAAAGTCTGTTCGGGAAGGTTATTGGTAATAAGCGGGCTCACCTAATAGGGTTGAAGAGAGAAATCCATCAAATTTGGCAAATCAGATTGGCAATTGCGATCCGAGAATTGAAACCTAATTATTTCCAATTCATATTTGCGGACGAGGAGGATAAATCTAAAGTGGCCAAAGGTGTCGGATGGACATTTGAAAACCAATTCCTAATCCTTAAGGAATGGAAGGAAGACATAAACCCAGATCACCAGGACTTTAATAATCTGGATTTATGGGTGCAAGCGTGGAACATTCCGCTACATTGTCTAGTTGCAGATGTCGGGCTCAAAATTGGACAGGTCTTCAAAGATGTTAAAAATGTGACAGTCCCCCAAGGAGGTCCTCTGGCAGGCAAGTGTTTGAGAATGTTTGTTACCATGGATATCACACAACCCATTTTAAGGTGTGCCACTATTCAGCTTGGAAATAAGACACACATAGTGGTTTTTAACTATGAAAGGCTTGTTAGTATGTGCTATTACTGTGGAGTTCTGGGCCATTTGGACAAAGCATGCTCCAAGAGAACAGAGGTCATTGCCAATATATCCCTAAGAGAAGGACTTTGCGGCGAGTGTCAGAGCACAAGATGCAACATGGGTCTCTGCATATGACCAACCCAGAGACACTTCATCCACACCTATTAAAAACACCTCTCCAGAACCTAATCACTCTTCAAACGTCCTGGTCATGCCCATTACCACTCCCCAAATCACTCATGATACATTAATCTATAATAACCACATCGAGAACACCAAATCTCCTCCATCCTTGGCATTCTCCCACCCTCCTCCACCACCTAAAATTGACCTCCCTAACATTCCCCCACAACCAGAACTTCTTAACTTGCAATCTAGTAACCCCACCATTAAACAAGAACTTGATATCACCTCACCTATGGATGCTGAACCTTCCTCTTTTAAACTTTCCAACCCAGATATCTCTCAATCACCTCCTTTGATCATTACTCCTCCCAGCAGCAACCCTTCTAAACCATCTCCCAACAACAACCCTCCCAAAGGTCAAATCAGTAATCCCACCCTAAAACAACAACCTAAAATCACCTCCCCCATGGTTGTTGAACCTTCCACTGTTAATCTTACCAAACCAGAGATCTCTCCAAAACCTCCGTTGAACATTACCCATACTAGCAACAACCCTTCTAAACCATCCCAGGACCAATCCCCTGATACTATTTCTAACTCTAAACCCATCAGAAGCTGGAAGAGAAAAGCTCCTCCACTAACTTTCACCCTCCCCAAAGAGGCTACAATCATTAAGACCACCAATGTTAAAAGGCAGTTATCCATCTCAGAACCAACGGTGGACACAACCATTATCCAAGGGCAAGATGATGCTGACTCACAGATGAAGAAGAAATTCAAAATCACAGTTGAAGGGGTAGAGGAGGCCAACCCAAAATGGCCCCACCAGTGCCCATGAGAGTTATGGTGTGGAATTGTAGAGGGCTAGGTAAGCCCTCTACAGTTTCCCAAGTCAAGGAGATCTCAAGGCTCCACCACCCGGGTATAATTTTCTTTTCTGAAACTAAGAAAAATAATAAGTTTGTTCAAACAGTGTTTAGGAATTTGGGGCTGGGCGATAACTGGGTTACTGTTGAACCTATTGGAAAAAGTGGTGGATTAATGTTAGGCTGGAACAACAGTAATCAGGTCACCAATGTGATTGTAAGCCCTTTTAGTATTCATATTCAGTTTTGGACCCCTATAAAGCCACTTTTTGCTGGGGTATTTTTGTGAATACATCTAGGCTATCGACTGGTGGAGAGAAATTGAGAAATGTGAGATTTTTTCTAATATTTATTATCTCATCTGGCCAGGAGTCGTCGGAGGTGGGAGGACCGCAGATGAATCTAAGGTTGAGTACGACGATTTGTCGGCCTTTAGCACCTGCCGATCAGAGACCACCACAGATCACCGACCGATGATTATCTTTCCCAGAAATCCCCAAAAATTGCACAAATTGGATCGTCCATGCGAGAAAATTCTGATTCAATTAAATTGGGCTTTCTTCATGGTCGTGGTTTTTGAGATCTTGCGGAAAATGGAGGAAACACTTTTAGGGAGGAAGCTTCGTGGGGAAGATATGGTACAATTGGCAATTGTGCAAAGAGAAGGTAGGTACGATTTGCCGGATGAAAGGACCATTCTAACCCCCAAAAGAAAATTAAAACGGGGAGGTTTAGGTGAATTCACAAGTGAACAACTACGGAAAACGTCGTCGTTTTGCGTTGCACAATTAAAAAAATAAAGGTTCATGAGGCTTTAAAAAAATATGAAAACAAGAGGGAATTCTTCATGCCAAAAGAAGGCCACGTGGAAGTCTTTCATGAATACTTCAGAACACAAATAAGTGCCACGTGTCAGCCAAATGTGGGCTTTCATTTTTTTTATGCGAATAAGAGAGATTTAGGAAATTAGAAATTAATTATATTTCTTATTTTAGATTTCATTAGGAGAGAAATATCCTTCTAAAATATTACCTAGGGTTAGGAGACTGTGGAGTCTTCTAGAAGTTAATAATGGTTAGGAGGAATAGGACTTCTAGATCAGATAGGATATGGAGCATGATTAGGATTCCTAAGCCTAATGGGATAAGCCCATATTTAGCACTTTCTTGAGGTCCCTAATGTAGCCTATAAATACACCATGTCCCAACTTCTTCCCCTACATGTGTGATATACTCAATTTTTAGGTCTTCTCAAGAGAGAAAAATTGCATTCTTCATATACGAGAGTTCGGGAGATTCAATTAATCGCACCACCAAGATTAATAAAAGTAGGTGTTTAGGTAATACATTAGAAGATTTTAAGGTACAATTTTTTCAAACCTTTTAACCGTAGAAGATCCGGCCACCCACGACCGCCGACCACTGTCGTGAGTCGCCGAAATCATCGTCGCCGCTGAAAGCCACCCAGCGCCCAGCCACACGCAGCCGCGAGCCATCTCCCGCAGCCGCACGTTGCTAGGTGCGACCACTGCTCCCATGATGACCGTCCAGCACCTACGCGAGTCGCCAGCTCCGCGTACTTGCTCTCGCATCGCTGCCGTCCATGTTCATCGTGCCCCGTTCCCGAGAGCGAGAAGAACGCCCACCTTAGTCCGCTGATGAAGATGTGGATTTCGAAGCCCGAGCATGCCGAGAGCCAATGGCAGATGCGATCGAGAGAGGCCGAGCAAAGGGTCGAAACAACACTTGCATGGCAAAAAAGACTTGCTAGAGCTCGAATACGAGGACGTATGCCCGAAGATCACGCACGGTGAGCGCGCGACGTGAGGTTCAAACACGGACGCGGCGTGACTTGAACGTCAAAATTGACAAGAAGCTTCTAGAAGATTCAAGTCTAAGATTCTAAAACATACTTATTAATTAGATTAATTATTATTTAGATTAATTAGTTTAATTATATAATTGTTAGTTTAATAATTATTTAGTTAGTATATTAGTTTTGGAACTTTATTATATGTTGCCGTGAGTAATTAGATTGTTAGGAATTGTTATCTTAGATTGTTAGGATTAGTTAGTATTTATTTAATTAGTTGGTTAGGTATTTTATATATTGTTAAGTCTTGGGATGCAAGACATTTAGTTACCTTAGGACTAGATATTATTTCATACTTAGAATTATAGCTCTAATAGGACTAGATCTAGTTTTGCTTATAAATACTTATTTACTCATTCAATTTTATACAAGCAATGAATTAATGAAAAAATTGACCTTTGGTCACCAATATCTTGTGTTAGAATTCTTTTGAGTTTTAGTACAAAATTCTTGTGTCGAAATGGGCGTTTCACCGCATAGTTCGTCATAATCTCGAGTTTGGCAAGGATTCACGTCCGAGCTGTCTCACCTATCGTGAGAAGATAAGGAGAAATCTGAGGCGTCCACACTTATCGCCGAGAAGGAAGTCATGGCAAACAACTTTCAAAGCAAGTCGAGTTGAGCGGATACACGATCTTTATCATTGGTGCTTTCGTTGAAAGGGTCGATCGTGTATCTTGTTTAAACTTTATCCTTCTTTTCCAATTTCCTTCTTTTCCAATTTATCTTTTCCTTTTCTTTGAATTTTTAATTTCTCTTCTTTTTGGTTTAGATGAATATATATATATATATATATAGATGTCGGTTTTCCCTAGACGGTTGATCAAATTTTCAATATAATGTATCATTTTACATATACAAAAATTCTATGGAGCCATCGAATAATTTTCTTATGGAGTCATCCATTATTTAATGTATTGACACCTGTCCAAAATGTATTTATTGTAGGACACATGTCATTACACTATTGGTGAAAAACTTGGGTGACTCCATAAGTCGAGCCATTCAATAGCTCCATAGCAAAACTAAAATTATGATATATGAACAAAATTGAAAATATGATTAAATTATAAATTATTTGTATGTGCTATTTTTAACTTAATTTTACATTCCTTTTATGAGTGGATGCGACACATATGACCCCTCTCTTTGTCAAATGCACCATTTGAATTGCCACGTCGTACTTCTCCTTCGGTGAGGAGAGTTTTAATCACTCGTCTCTCTCTACTCTCTCTCTCTCTCTCTCTCTCTCTCTCTCTAGCATTTGCCACTTCAAAATCAAAACAAAAAGGTTCATTTCCCACAACAATTGTGTGCTGTTGGTGTTTGCTATCATCAATCATCGCATCGCATTTTCTAGGGTTTCTGGATTACTTCTTTTCCATTATCTCGTTTTCTTCACGGCCGTGATTATTCGCCAGCAATGTTAAGGCTTTAATCCGATCATATTCGGATAATTAGGTTCGGATCTCCTGCGATATTCTCTTTGATCAACGATCTGTTCGTCTGCTTTCCGCAGATACGTATCCTCTGTATTTTGTTTGATTCCGAGGAAAGTTGTGAGCTTTACGTTGACAATGGCTGCGAATCTGCATCTCCAGATGTGTGCTTGCTGCTCGAAGAGCCAGCTACTTTGAGTGTATCGGGTGATGTGTTTCTGTTTATTTGCTGGTCATGTGTAGTTCTTTTGTTTCATTAATCGAAGCTGCTGTTTTAGTTGTTTTTGGCTGATGTGGGAGTTAAAAGCTTTAATAATAGTCGACTTAAGATATATAATTTCAAACAAAAGATATCTGTGCGAGTAGAATTTTCCCTTTTCAGATCAATTTATGAGTCTGGTTAAGTTAAATTGATTCATTAACTGCTGTGGGTGCTGAAGATTTATTATACTCTCAATGGTTGCGTTATTTTATCAGAAAGCTAAGATGTCTTCTTTATTTTTTTTGTTTTGTTTTGTGCTAGTTGGATCCGATGAAAGATAGTACTGACTACTGAAATGGTTTCTTGTTTAAGATAA